AAGAAATCTTCCATATCGAGTATCACGAATGGAATCAGAAGCGTCTGGAGACCGTGTCCTTTGAAAACATCTACTTGTCTCATGGGGCACTGCAGAAAGACGAGAGGTCCACCACTTGCGTTCCACATCCAATAGCGTAGTGATGGTTCAACATGCATGGAAAAATACCAAAAACATGGAGATGACTTCAGGTAAACACAGAATTGACTTGGGCCTTGAGTCCCGGTCGAGTCTCTAGATTGAGTCACGGCTAGGCGTTCTTTTCCACACCCTCCGCCAAGGATCTTTGTAGGGGTATCGCCAGGCTTCACCCACCTGAAGCTGCAGATCAGGGCAAGTGAGCAGCACAAAAAATCCATGAAGATTGTGCAAGCTGTAGCTTGCTCCTTCAACCTAAAGGTTGCCCCCCCCCCACACTCTCCCTCCAGCTCGCCACACAATGTGCAAGGGAGGTCCCACCAACATGATCCTGTTGCCAATGGAAATAGTAAACTAGTAGCGATCATTGCTCCTAGTAGTAAGGCCAGGAGCCCTAGTAGCGTCCTTGTTCCTAGCAGCGATGCCCTTTGCTCCTAGTAGCGTTCTTGCTCCTACCTTAAACTATTAAACCCTCTGAGGAGCTCTTTACCTTGCGCAAAACCGTTTGATGGCATTTCACCCTCAAGCTTTGGTTCTTGGTCACAGCGCCTTGCCAAGTGACACTGCTGGCTGGCGCTTTCTACATAGAAGCTGGGGCTGTGGTTGGGTATTCGCATTATTTGGCAACGGCCCCGCAAAGCTCCACAAGGACATGAATTTCTCAACGCACAGCTGCACTCTGAAACATCACCACACACACACCAGTCCGCCTGCATGAAACTGGAGCTGAAGAAGAGCGGGGTGGGCGTGAGGTCGCCCCTAGCAGTGCAGGGAATGGAACCTTTCATGTTCTTGTTGCTTTTCTTCAGACTTCTGTTCCTTCTTCATCTTTCTTCCTTCGATTTAATTTATATACTTACTTTTCAGCTAGTTTCCACAATTTTTGGCGCAATCAAATTGCGTATAGACTCAGACTTTTAGAGTGCTTGAAACCTCTTACTAAGCTCTGGGACTAATTAGTGAGTCAACCTGCAAAGTCTGGGGTTCAGCGCCGTGAACGAACAAAATCCGAATGTGAAGAATCTGTAGAAAAGTCCTCCTGGCTGTTGCCCGTCCTCCTCCTCTAGCTGGATCTTGAACCCTCCGGTCTGTAGGAATTTCCCGGACAGAGCTGGCCTTGAGGGATCACATCCACTGAGCCATATTTCAAGGTGATGGCCACAAACTGCTTGGTCTCCACCTGGGCGACATATTTTGGGTGCGCAGCAGGATGGAGGGCATTCCTATTAGGTTGGAGGCCATTGCTATTAGGTCGGAGGCCATTGCTGTCAGGTTGGAGGCCATCGCTATTAGGTTGGAGGCCATTGCTATTAGGTTGGAGGCCATTGGTGGTAGGTTATGGTAGGTTATTACATGGATCTTCAAACGGCCAACAAATTCTGGTAGTTTTGGTTGTTAACCGGGTTTTCCACGCAAACGGCCGCAAACACGTCAAAACGACCGAAAATTTACGCAAAACGCACGCAAAAAGCCAGAAAGACGACCACAAAATTCCGCAAAACAAACAAAACGGCCATAAAACCAAAACGACCAGAATCTTTTAGTAGTTGGAAGGTCCAGGTATAGGTTGGAGGCCATCGCTATTGTGGTGGAGGCCACTGCCATTAGGTTGGAGGCCATTCCAGTGATCGATGGCTTCTGCCTGCGCAGCTTCCCAATCGCTATCCTGATTGTGGGCACGGGCTCCGTTGTGAATGTAAGCTCTCCGCATCAAGCTCCGCATCAGTTACTTTTGTGCAAAGTGTTCACGTAAAGCCCAAAAATGTTGGACGAATTCATGAACTCTAAGCAATCGTGATAGCAGTGTGAGTGAACTGGAGCTCCTATCAAAATAAGCCTTTGTTGGGACAAGGATGGACAAGGATGCGCCAAACCAGGGTCAGCCTGGCTAATTTCCAAACACCGCCCGCTTGGTTGAGTAGAAACTGATAGTCTGATCTGATCCTGCTTACTGAAACATCAAGGCCCAAATAGCAAAGAAAACACCGCAGCGTGCATGCTTTTCTCGAATGGTGGTAAGCCTCCTTCCCGCCAGCTACCCTGCCTAACTTGCAAGGCCAAAAACGTAAACGAAAAGCTGAGGAAAGCTCCCAGTAGAAGAAACGGACACCAGGCACCCAAGGAGCTTGGGTCCATGGGCAAAAGAACGGTGAAAAGCACCGGGGAAACGGTCAAATGCATTGAGCCCCGACCAGCATACTCCAAAACCTTCAATCGTAGCCCGGGAGTTTCGGGGCCGCAGCCAACTGTGGAGGGATAAGTCAATTCATCCGCCCAAGTCTCAGCGCCTTGAAAACATGTGAAGGCGCCAGTTGGCATCCCTAATTGACACTATAGTGCCACCCAAGACTTGAGCCAAAATGGTACCCATTTTGGCTAATGAAATGTATTCAGTAAACATTACATGCTTTGTGCATGGTCCAAGCGCGCATCAAGTGTAATTCACTGGAGTGTCTTCTCACTTTTCAAATTATTGCATTGGTCACCCAAAACAACCCAAGAACGAACCTTTTTGGCAACATCAAACATGTAGATGTTTTGACTTCACGCATCAGGGAGCGTGGGTTTGTCTTGGCTGATTTGGGCTTGGAAAGGCTAGAAGTGCCCAGCGCCTTTTCTGGAACCTGCTTTGTTCTGACTACGGGACTGGGGCAGGGGCCCAGCCATTGGATGGAGCAAGCAAGAACTATTTGGAATGCCGCTATGACTTGGCAGTTTTTGGCAGTTCAACCACCGACAGTCGCAAGAACAATTGGAAACGAGAAAACTAGTCACAAATGCAAGTGCAGAGGTACCGAGACTACAAGCCCAAGACTCAGATACTAAGTGCAGAACATAAAACTAGCCATAGCTGAAAAGAACTGGAAACTATTGGAAACAAAACGGCCTCAGAAAAAAAACACTGAAAAACTACACTCAAACAAAACATCGCGAAAGCACCGAAGGACAACTAAGATGTCTTGAAGCTCAAACAAGAAAGCCAGAAAAGAGCAAGCCATAACCCACACATCCTGAATAAAGCAGGAAAGCATTGGAGGACCACGAAAGCTAGAAGGGCAAACAGGGACAATTCCGGGATATCGAAGGGGTGGAAGATGGTGGAAGATTTGCTGCGTAGGCAGTTCGGCCACCCCCCAAAACCTACCACATCCTGACCAAACTGCGGTGATTCTCGCGAAACATCCATCTGTTCGCGACAACTCACGTGCCAGGACACGTACGAGTCATGTACAAGAGTTCATTGCGCATGAGGGCGGTCATTCTCCTGCCAGGCCAGGCTGAGGCTGTAAGGATCTCAAGACCCAATCAATCATTCTCACACATAAAACGACGACAATCAAACGTTGGGTCAACACCCTTAACTGTCTCGACTTTGGAGTCAGAACGAATTCTCCATTCTTCGCCGCCAGCCTCTGCTCAACGTCAAAGCGAAGGCGATTGAACACTGAAACTCAGCGAGTTCTTGAAGAGCCAGCTGCAAAGGCCAAGGTTGTAGGAGACACATAATATGCGGAAAACATAGGCTCAAAATCACTGCGCTGATGCCTAGCATGTCGATCGGTATGCGTAGCATGCAAATGTTTCTTGCGAGAACGACCAACAGTTCGACAAGGCCCTTCGCTGGCGAAACACACTCCACAAGGACCATTGATGTGTCACACAGAGTGCCGCAGGGAAAGCGGTGGACAACGAAGTGGAGAATACAGTGCCGATGCTTGCTTAGCAGCGTGAGACAAACAAAGGCTCATGCACTATGATGGTGTATAGTATATAAAAGGTCTAATATAGTTTGTTATTAGGTTGGAGGCCATGGCTCTCAGGTTAAAGGCCAATGCTATTAGGTTGGAGGCCATCGCTTTATATATGAAACTGGTCGGATGATCTCGTCTGCAGTGTTCATGGACCTCTTGACTCCTGCCATGCTCCTGTCCTCTAGGTGTGGGAAGCAGGCCGCAAAAAAACCCGTTAAAATCAAACCCTCCGGGGCTCAGTATGAAAAGCAACTTGAATGACCTCGGTATCTTCTACACCCTCTAACCTATGAAGCTATTGTCATCGCCACTAAAATGTTCTGAACTCGTTTGGCTACGGGCATTCCATGGAGAGGGTCTCGTCCCAATAACCTCAAAGGCAGGCACCACACCCCAACCTTTTCTCATCTTTTCTCCAACTGTTCCACTGGTCACAATCTTGTGAGAACAACAGCGTTGGAGAATATTCCATGCTCAGCGCTACGAAACCTTGGGTCACCAAAGGCACTCTCTGTGCCAAGCGTGAGTTCTTCAAACCAGCTGTGCGCTACATGGCAATGACCTGCGACTAGTGAGCTGGACAAAGCATCCTTGCACTCGGAATCACTGGTTCCTGAGCAAATAATTACAGTAAAGGCTTCAATCAAAGGCACTTTATCAGCAAAAGTACCCATGTTCGCACGGATGCAAGACCAAATCGAATGGTTGGGGCAAAATGTGGTCAAACGATGATAAAGGATGCAATAACTGCGTAGATGTTTAATGGCTGCACAAAGTCCATAATTCGGACTACAGTGCTTGATAAGTGCAGGTTCCATCAGGAAGACTTCAGAAAGTCCTGTTGCAAACAGTTGGTGTCCAATGGGTCCAAGTGTAAAACAACTATATATGTATATAGAAATAACTAAATAATTGCAAGTATTGTCCCTGGTGCTTTGCTAGGTTGCTATACAAACAAGAATCATGCAAAATAAGTCGTGGTCCACCTGATGGCTTAAACAGCGAAAATGCGGGGCTATTGACGTTGTACGATTGCTTCCGAAGCGGATGGGCACGTTTTTTCGTCTCGCTGATCACAGCGAAAAGGTCGTTCCAGGGACGACATCGCACTCAGGGAGGCAGGACGACCTGAGGAATGACAAGGGAGGCCATCGCTGCCATCGCGGATCGTAGCTGCCGTAGCTTGGAGGCCATCTGTCGAGGGGCATGACACGAAAAATGATCACCGTCAATTGCCCGTTTGCGGGAGAAAGCTGCAAGATCCTCTCGGCGAACATCTGCGCTTCCAAGCTAAGAAACTTCCAAGCTAAGAAAGGAGTTCGACACAACTCGACACATCTTGGGGATCGCCGTACAACAGTGCTGGGCTCAAGACTGATGGACCCATACCATCCCAACCCGCCTCCTGAGCTTTCAACAAATTGGAAGATTCTCTCATAGCCGGGTCAAAGCTTGAAGACTTATTGCCAAATCCGTTCTTTCTCCAAATTCGCACTTCAATTTTGTCGCCCCTTTCTTTCTCGCGATTTGATCTTGAAGAAGACTACATCGCTGTTGATTTCTCCAAAGAAATGATCTGAACAAATTACAGGGTCGGGCTGGCTGGCGGATGCTGGTGGAACGCGTTGTGCTTATGTTTGGTGTTGTGATTGTGTGTGTGTGTGTCATTAGGGCTCAAAGCGCACACTAGCTGTGCATATGTTTTTTGCCCCAGAACTCCTTTGTGGGTTCGAATCGAGTAGAATCGCTCCAAACGCAAGAGAAAGAAGGAAAGAACGTGTGTGTGTCATTGCGTGTGTCGCCACATCGACTCGTCGACGTTGCTCGAGCCTCATCGTCCAGGTGGGCAACACTGTACCTCCGATGTGATCAGGGGATCTTCACGACACCGACAGCGGCCATGCTTTTGTCAGCTTCACGGAGGTTCGGCTTCACAAGACTAGAATCGGAAATGCCATGTTTTCTGCAACAAATCCGACAGCTGAGGTCAGGCTTCGATTCGACCAAAAGTCATTTCTCCGACCGATCTGCCTTTGGTGTGGCAAGTTAGATTGGCATATCAGATCTGGCGTAGTTGTCCGTTTTCTGTAGCATCATAGCATACCGATCTTGCAACATCGACTGTCTATGGTTGAACCAATTTCAGCAACTCTCTGCATACTCGGTAGACTAGACAGTTTTTGGCTTTCTGGCACCTGGGATATTCGAGGAAAGAGGCAAATTCATTGGAAGTTATTGCCGAAAGAGTCTCCAAGCATAGACTTTCCATAGCCTCTTTGTATTTGCTTGATGTTCTAATGTTCCATCCAATAGAAAGTTCACACAAGCCACGGCATCTGCCAGTTCAATATCTCCCACTCCTTTGACCAAGGCACAAGTTGTAGATCTCTTTCAGCTCCTCTAGGTAGTCCTGCATTTCCACCTCAGCCCATCGTAGCCAGTCATAGCGCAAAAGCTGTAGTAGAGAGAGTGCTTGAGGGTTCTTACACGTCCTAAACCATCCGATTGCCACAACTCTCATACTGACTAATACTCATACTATCTCATACTCATACCCTACGCTTCATCGACTATGCATTACATAGCCTTCCTGGAAAGCATGTTTATTGCAAAACAACGACTATTTTCTCGCCTGCCATTCTTTGCCTTCGGCCCAGCTCAAGAACCGTGGACAAACCGTAGACAAACCGTAGAAGGCATGTTTTCTTTTCTGGCCTCACAAAGCAAATAAACAACCCAACCACGGGTCAATCCAGGGAAAGTGGATTCACGCAAAAATCACTGTTCCATAAAAAAGGCTCTTGCAACAACACACGTTCTAAACACCTACCTTTGAAGCATTGAGCATAGATGCTGTCACCGTAGAGAAGACTCCTTGCAAACTATCTCTGAAGCGGCACTCGCTTCTGACATCTTCTGACAGTCCTTGACAAATCCACTGACCTTTCTCGCTATTAGGTTGCCATCGCTCTTAGGAGCAAGGACGCTACTAGGGGCTCCTGGCATCGCTACGAACGGAGCGATCGGACGCTAGTAGGTTGGAGACCATTCGCGCAGCGTCCTAGGTTCCGCACATCGAGGCGAACGAGCTTCCCTGTCGCCGGGTCGTAGACCTGCGCAGCTCTGGCATCCCCAGAAATCGTAGACCTGCGGTGTCCTCTCGGTCATTGTTTTTTTTCCAACAAAATGGTACAAAGATGTACAAAACTCATCAACGATATCAACTATAACACACTAGAACACCTGGGTCGTCAGCTAATTTGAGAGATGAAGCGGGTTCCGGGCTGGGCACCCCAGCACATGGATGGATTTTAGGCTGAACGAAGCCATACTCCTCCGGCCAAAAACGATGCAAACACGCAAAAATAGAAACAACATGAAACAACAAACATATAGGAAAACAAAGAAACAACGGTTTAAGTGAAGCAAAGCACATAGACAGTGGAGAGTCTTGCAGCTGGTCTCCCAAGTCTCTCCAAGCACCTGAGGACCCCACATCCAATTTCTGGTATGTCTCAACGCGGCGTTGCTGCACGATGCGGGTCTTGTACAGGTTGATCGCCTCAAATGCATCTTCCGAGACACCCCTTGCAGTGTCGAGCACGAGATCTGCCTAGCTTCTAGTGAGTTAGAGGTTGAGGGATGTTGAGGGGTATGTGACCTTGACCATTTCAAACAAAACCAAGGCTTACGAGACCGGCTTAGATGCTATCCGTCGACGAACCTCGCGCCACGGGCATCACGAGACCGTCAAGTCGTCACGTCGCTTTGTCAGTTCGACGTGGTCGAGTCGGTCAAGGCTTCCCAAAGGATAGAACAGCTTCGAGCTGAGATGCGGAGCAGGTACCCAACTTATCACTTAATGTTACAAGTTGGAGTACTTGGAGGTGCTTTGGATGACGTAGATGCAGAGTCATATCAAAGGCAACAATTGGAGCCATGCTCAAGGTATGCTCAAGGCTCTTGGTGTCTGTATTGCGGTTAGGAGTATTTTGAAACCATGTGTTTCGCCTATGCGCAAAGTAAGGCTTGGTGGTCTTCATTTGCGATCGCAAACCTCTAGACAGCAGCGTAGATACAAATAGATGAGACTGTGGGGTGGTACTGACAACTAAGTAATGCAGAAGTGAAAAGATGAGGGCATGAACACAGCAACGAAGCTAGATGAACATACGTTCCACTCAAACCCTGCAGTATAAGAGCTAAACTGCAAGGCAGTAAGAATATCTTCAGCGTGTACTTGGTATACTGGAGTCGCTCAAGATCAATCTTGAGAAGGAGTGTGGATTAGTAGACTAAGATATTGCCGTCCTACACACCCTAAAATCAGTCAAGCAATGAGGACGAATCATCTAGGGTCTATATGAGTGAATGTGGCTGTGGCCGGTGCGACTCAAGCAACGTTGACATACGTTGCAATCAATGACAACTGCCTGCTCAATGACATTGATCTCAACTAATCTGCGTGCTCGAACATCCTGGTCCTGATGGAAGCCAAGAGCTTGAGGGAATTGGTCAACGTCGCATTCAAAGTATTCCAGAGTATACTCATTATATCTCGATATATGTGTGTCTTCGTGTTTCTTCAGTATCACCATCGACTGAAGAAATAAAACATACACACGCAAAACCAAGGGGTTCCAGTCATGCTAAATTAGGTTACATATGGCTGGCTGTCAAACGCCCTTGTTCAAAAATTATCATTTGCAAACCTCGTGGGGGCCTTCTGTCGTCTAAACCTCCTATATGTTTGAAGTAAATTTTACGTCAACAACACATATAAATTATGGTTACATGGAACCTTCAGGCTCAAAAGCGTGGCATGTCCAGAGCATCTCTGATTGCGGCAACATCGGCTCTTGTCCTGATCTCATTCTTGTAATATGTGCTCAACAAACCATCGTTGGGGAAAGGTTCTTCATGGTCCTTCCCGCATGTGAAACCATTCATGGACCTTACAGACTTAAAGCATCGTAAAGCATCCAGCATCTTGTTTCGCCATGGCAAGCCGGCCACGACTCGGATCTTCCATCGGATTTGATGTCTCGATTTCCCGCCCACTTCTTGCCTCGATCCTGCTCAGTTCTTCTCGGTGCATGCGGTACCTGGCGCCGAAGCACTGAGCGCAAAAAGGCAAGGCCATGGCAGCAGCAATAAACAGTCTTCCCCAAAGCGTGAGCTGTTGCACCATGTTTGAGCCTTTAAGTTTTTAGTTAATTGGACAGTGGCACATTGGTTGGATGACGACCACATGTGCAGTGGGAAATATTGTTTGTGTAGTAGCCACAAACTTCGACCTGTGCATCATCTTTGGTGGAATCCAGATTGCCTCCAATATCAACAAGACCTTGATCGGATTTTGCATGTGTATCTGTTGATGGGAACCACTCATTCTCGGTGGAAACACAGCCACCCTGCATTGGTGATGCGTCTCCGAAACGAGTCCGAAATCAGCTTCCGAAAGGTTGTCAGTCGACAGAGGTCCGGACTCCTGGGACCCCCAAACACATCGCGGATGTTGCGCAACCAGTTGGCCAAGGGTGAAGGATGGTCATCCTGGACGAGGCGACCACTTGGCGGCGCAAAAGGTGATTTTCGGAGTGGTTGGGAAACAAAAGACCTTTGTTGGCAGCAGAAACATGTGGAATAGGAAAGGTCCTGTTGAAAATGTGGCTTGAACCTATACCTGAGAAGGGAGGGGACGAAAGCCAGCCTCTGTGAGAAGACATCAACATGGCAATGGGGGGGTGAAGTCGAGAGCGCACTGGAACAGTGTCAAGAATTGGAAATAAAAAACAAAAGTGTAGAATGGTGGAGAATCGTAGTAAAGGTGGGGGAGTGGGGTGCTCCTGCTCTTGTTGCTCAAGGGACGCTGTGAAGATAAAAAAGGGCACCCCTAAGAAACGGAGGGGCGTTGGCGTGCTGTTGCTTTGTCTTGTGTTGCAGATAGACTCATAAAGTCGGTGTGCTGCTAAGAAGAGTGGACCGAGGAAAGGTGACTGCTGAGATCACGCGAGGACTTTGGGGAGAGATTGCTGTTGTTATGGGGGGATGTCGACATAGCAGTGATGCTACTTCTGTTGGAAACAGAAAGCAGAATACATCGGTTAGGGGGTGCCCTTTTTCGCCTGGTTCAAGGGCGTTTTGAAGCTGAAAAAGGGCATCCCTAAGGAACTCAGGGACGCTTGCTCGCTGTTTGTTATTCATGTCCTGTCGATGGACTCACAGACTTGGCGTGCAAGATCAAGTGATTGGCTAGCATCGGGCAAAGAGTACCCTCATGGGGTGAAGTTGACATCGCAGCCACCCTGACAGGGGGTAGAAATAGACAGCAGCGCTTGGGGGGGGTGGCCTTTTTCCTCCTGGCTCAGGTGCATTTTCAAGGTGAAAAAGGGCACCCCTAAGGAACTGAGGGGCGGTTGCCTGCTGCGTGTTGCCAAGCAGTGAGCAAAGATGGCTGTGGGGGGCCCATGGGCGAGGCTATCGGCTGGCTTTCGTGAGGTTACATATGTATATATATATATATAAAGAGAGACATATATGTATCCAAAGTTAACACAGAAATGTCTATAGAGGTAAAGAAGGAAGCGCACAAGAAGAAAAAGAAGCTTCTGAGGTGGGTGGAGTCTGCCGGATTTCTTGCACTGAGGCGGACTTGTCCCCTGTTTCCTATCGTCGACATAAACTCCCAACACTAATAGAAGACCTTCCTCCTCCGCTGTGCCCTTTTGAGTCCGGCAACTAGGCCTCTGCACCGTTAAAAGGCACCCCCAAGCAGTTCAAAGCTTGCCAGCTGCAATCTGTTCTCTCTCCTTCCCTCAACGGACCGCATCAACGCGTGAACTCGCACCTATGGGGTGCCCTACTGCGTATGGTTGACAGGCATCTTCACCATTAAAAAAGGGCACACGTCCTCCTCCGCTATGCCTGTCTTCCACCTTCCCCACAGCATTCTGTTCCCTGTCCTGCCCTCACAGATCACACAGCGTCTTAAGAGACGCACACCTCCTTTTCACCCCTCGCATCTCCCTTTCCTGGAGGAGTTCCAACCACTTTTTGCATCGCGTTGTCCCCTCTTTCCTATCATCGACATGAACTCCCACCCCTGGTAGAAGACGGCTTACATTGCCTCCTGAGCCTCTCATGATGCCAATGATGCACTATTTGCCGTCGATCACATCACTTGCATCACAACACCCCAAAAACCATCCATTTTCAATCCCAATCGTGCCTGCATTTGTTTCGCTCTCCCCCACCAGGCTCTGTCTGGGCTAGCCCTCTGAAATTGGCCCGTGTGCGACCACCCCTCCCACACCCCCTTTACTCACTTCGTTCGCCCAACCCAACTTCAGCCTAGCCTATCGGCTGGCTTCGTGACTGTTTTATAGTTATATATCTACTATCTCTTCTATACCGCTCAGTAAGACTCAAGGGAGAAATATGAAAAACATTGTTTCTTCTTCGACAAAGTTCGATGCTACTAAGGAACTTGGACAACCATGGATCAATCCTCGAAACAAGATCGACCAAGTCTTTCATCCTTCTTTTTGTCGTTTCTTTTTGTTTCTAGTAGCGATGGCCTCCTCCAACCTAGTAGCGATGCCCTCAAAACTGGTAGCCATGGCCTCCAACCTAATAGCGATGGCCTCCAACCTAATAGCGATTGCCTCCAACCTAATAGCAATGGCCTCCATCCTAATCTTGGATTTGCTTAAGGACTGGAAAACAACACTGAAAACAACATATTTTCACCAGAAAAGGATTTAACCATAGAGAAATAATGTAACATCACCTTGAGCAAACCCATGCGATGGCCTCCAACCTAATAGTGATGGCCTCCAACCTAATAGCGATGGCCTCCAACCTACTAGCGATGGCCTCCAAGCTAATAGCGATGGCCTCCAACCTAATAGCAACGGCCTCCAACCCAATGGCGATGGCCTCCAACCTACTCGCGATGGCCTCCAAGCTAATAGCGATAGCCTCCAACCTAATAGCGACGGCCTCCAACCCAATGGCGATGGCCTCCAACCTACTAGCGATCGCCTCCAAGCTAATAGCGATGGCCTCCAACCTGATAGCGACCGCCTCCAACCCAATAGCGATGGCCTTCAACCCAATAGCGACAGTCTCCAACCTAGTAACGACGGCCTCCGACCTATTAGCGACGGCCTCCAACCTAATAGCGACGGCCTCCAGCCTAGAAGCGTGTGGCATAATGCAGAACTATACAACTCTTATATAATGTGATGTACCAATCTACATCAAATTACGGTCTGATCAACCATGATCAACCTGAAGAGCTAGCAATTGTTCTCCTTCCGAAGCCTTGTCCAAAACTGTTGAGTCAACCAGTCACCCGGGAACAGTCACCGAGCGTCCCTACGTTTCGAACAGCTGCGCTGATGCCACCGCAGTCATAGTGGCCACAAATCACAATGTGCTGCACCTCGAAAGGGGTCTCCGTGGGGGTCTCCGTGGGGGTCTCCGATCTCCCAAAGGGTCAAGAATTACTTGTTACATCTTGTCACCTTCGTAGCTTCTAGCTAGTAGTAATGCTTGCTACTAGGAGAGAGGAGCTACTACTAGTAATGCCCTTTGCTACTACGAGCTTCTAGCCACCAGTAGCGATGCCCTTGATCTCCCAAAGGGTGATCTCTCTGGATTTAAGGGGTCTAAGTCTAAATCCCTCTGGGCTAAAATTCTTTGCTGTCCCATCGATTATCCGATCGTTTGTCTCGATAGACATCCTCCTGGTGGTGACATGTGCTCCTCAATGTCCTTTATGTCTGTCAAGCAATTTTCAGCACTTGACTACAGTGCATATACCAAAGCCTGCCTCATTACAGCTGTGGCTATGACGGAGACTCAATGAGATGCTTGAACATTCATCTTCTGTTGTTACTCAGATCAAAGGGGGATCCTAAATGATTCGTAACCGCTGACATATTCAAGGAAATTTGGCTAAGCTCCTCGTATTGGAAATCTAACCGTACTACTAACTATCAAAGATTATCAATGTTATATGGACCTGGATGGCTGGAAAAAGATGATAAATGCCATTCTTCATAGTCTTATGTCTTGTCATGTCAAACAACAGAAGTACGCCAAAAGGCAACATCTGTGAGTCCGGGGAAGTAAACAATCTAAAGAAAACGGGAAAACTCCAGCTTAGTTCTTGACCACCCAATGTTCACTCTAAGATCACGGATATCCGTGGCTCAACACCCAATCTGGCTGACTGGCCAGTTTTTGCCCGGCCTGGAGAATGCCCACCGCATACTGGATCACACTCATAGCGGACGTATCCACATTGTTCACCAGGTTGGCAATATTCCTTCAGTCGACCGACATCCAAAAGCAATACTTGTGCCAGCATGGTCCAGCACATGCTCTATTTGTCACCGGGAGAATTCATCCGATGTTCCTTTTTCGCACGTTCCTTCCCTTTTCCCGTCGGCTCCTGTGCACAAAGAGAGTGCCCGGCGGAAGACCTGAATGTACCGAGCTTTGAAAAGGCAAACCTACATCTTCTCTGCAAGTGGCCAACCAATGTGCAAAATCGCGATGGCCTCCAACCAATGTGCAACCAATGTGCGATGGTCCCGAATGGATCCAACCACCGCTTGATTCATCCAGAAATCTCTTTGATTCACATGCCGGCAGAAACGAGCTCTCGAGCCGCATCTGAGCTCTCGGGCCGCAAATGGTTCCCGGCGCCACCCGGCTGTCACTACAACCTCTCAGAGAACCAGCGAATTACGCATCTTTCATGACAAAGTGAACATTGGCAGAGCATCAGATTGGCCTTTAAAAGGTTCAGCAAACATAGCAAATCAATGCAAATCACCCTAATATCATCTAATAAAACCTAATCATAACCATGCTGAGCGATGCTGATTGCTTGCATCTGCTTGCCCTACCGGCCCCGGCCGCCGGAAGCCGCCGGAAGCCGCCCCGACCTATCCACAAATATCTCGGCTTCTGAGTCCTTGCCTTAGCTCTGAGCGACGTGAGTCCACAAGAGCGACGCAAGGCTTTCTCCACACGGGGTGGATGTTGGGTGAAGCTCTCAGCACAAACGAGGATGTTCCGCAAACACGACACGCAGCGAGACCCATGGTCAAAGCATTCGCTCATGCTCCAGTCATGACATTCTGAAAATACTTGAGACAAACCTACCACTCCAAAAACTATGTGACCTAGGGCATCATAGGGCCAAGGGAACCCAAAGCAAAACAGCAAGCGCTTGCATCGGAAAAACAGGAATGTCATTAAGCTGGCTGGCCGTTCGAGCAAAGAAATTGGGATCGGTGTTCATCATGTTCTGCCGCCACTCCTTGGTGTTCTGTCACCACGTCCAACGGCGGAGGATCCGCATGCACTTCTTCATGCAAAGAAAAAAGAAAAGAACACATTCCGCCAAAATATACCATATAACCTTCGGTGTAAGGCTCTGCAAACTGGTTCAAAAAAAGGGATCATGGCAAGATATGAAGCAAGCTGAGATGATCTGAGATCCTCTTGAAAAGTCCAGACCTCGGACCGTTCCTCGTTCCCAGCCTCATTGCAGTTGATCAGTTCATCAATGGACCACTCCTGACCCGATGTGTTCTGTTCGCTGTGGAGTGCTGAGGCGAGTTACGTCATACACTGTCATACACCAGGGTCGTGATAGCCTCTGAACACCCGATGGTCGTCTACAGACTGCCTCTTCCAAAGCCACATCTCTCAGACATGTCTGTCTAAAATGATCATGATAATATCAATGAGTATGTTTCCAATGATTCTTTCCATGAGCCAAAACCTTCGTTTCAAGCTATGAAACGAAACCTACACATGCCAAACCCTACACCGATCCGATTCCGACGGTCCGCCGTTCCTTGGAACGTGGTCTGGAGAGGTGAAGGCCCCGAGAGAACACCTCGCAAGACGTCGAGCCGTCGAGCGAGCGTCACCGTCGCAGCAGGGCACCCGCTTCGGAGGGCCGGGCCGGGCCGTTAGCGATGGCCTCCAAGCGACTTGCGGCCACCCTAAGAGCGTCCCTTAGTTAGAGAAACGTCCTCAAATGAGACCAAGGTCATCGCTGTTGCTTGGAAGATTGCACCAAGATTGCACCTTTCAAGACCTTCTTGGTTCCAAAAACATGCCTGCAACACGTTGGAACACACGACCCGGAGCGAGTTGTCGGATCCTGATTCTGTGGTATTCTGTGCAGCTTAGATGCATCACCACACCACATTTCTTTGGCTATGGTGCCCCGGAAAAACGACTACAGTACATACTATATCATATTATTACCGCTATTTGCAATAGTTTCAGCCCTTGGCAGGCTTAGATGTATCCACACAAATGGATGGCTTTGCTGATTTGACACTTGGATGTGCAAGAGGCAAGAGGAAGGCTTCTCCAGCTCACAACGGCCCCAAAAGCCAGGAGCTAGTAGCGAACCTTGTTCCTAGGAGCCCCTAGTAGCGAACCTTGCTCCTAGTAGCGATGCCAGGAGCCCCTAGTAGCGAACCTTGTTCCTAGATGTTCCTAGTAGAACTTCCAAGACTTCCACCAGCAATCCACACTTTAAAACCCATCACATCCGACCCGTGCCGTTGGCCTGTCTGCACAAGCGAGGCACGGGCCGCACCTCGAGGACCGAGATGGGGTTCGTCACGGCTGTGGAAACGGAACACGGCTGGCACATGCTGGCACGGCGGGTTCTTCGTGTCCGCAGAACGAAGGAATTGGCACATCAGTTTTCTTCAGAGATCAAACTGCGGTTGTTGGGACGATGGCGCTCGAACTAGAGTACCTGGTCTTGGCTCAGATCGTACTCACAACTGAGTGAGGTTTTCCCAATGTTCATTTGAGAAAAGACTCTGTTAAGACTCTTCACAACGGCAAAACCAACGGGGCAGTTGTCAAATCCGGCCTGGCGAAGGAGTGGAAAGGCCATTCTGGCCGAAACTTTGCGCGCGAAACTTTGCGCGAGCCAATGCTTCCAGCGGAACAAGGCACACATAAATCACTTGTTGAATTCATTAAGCATGTGAAGCTGACACTCAGATCAACGAGATTCACAACACAACACTTTCAGATTCCTGCTTCACCTATTGAGCAAATCGGCCTTTGGTTCCCCCGAACCATGTGATGCTTGGCCATCAGTGCCAGCACGCTCATCCCGTTTTCCGAGAGTCAAGGGTCATATGCCCGAGCCAAAGAACCTGGGCAAAGAAAAACTGCATGTTTCACAGCTACGAACGTAGCAAGTGCATCGCTACGAACGTAACAAAGGGCATCGCTACGAACGTAGCAAGACGCTACTAGGGGCGCTCCTGGCATTACTACTAGGAACATTCTTGCTACTAGTAACAAGAATGCTTTCTGCACCTATCTGGGCCATAAACTCTATCTGTGCTCTTAAAGTTAAAAAAGGCATCTCGAGGTCTACCGAGTGCTCAGTGTGGGCCATCAACATCTTCCTCCGCAGTGAGTGACTGTCTTGTCTCAAGCTCAGCACCTCGTGGTCTCTTGGCCGGCACCTCAGCCTGCGAAGCCCAGTCCCTTCAAGCCATGTCAAGCGGTGCAGTCTCACCTTTAAACGGCAGTCAGTTCACTCAGTTGATCTAACAAGTTGGACGGATGTGAGAGAAGCATAAAATAGTAAAAGACCTAAAAGGATGGAGCTATTGTGAGCCATTCAACCCATCCGATGGCCTCTATCTGAGCATTGGCAACGCTTGGAGATGGCTGGATGGGAAGAGACCAACTCATCAGTACTTCGCTAACATTGAGGCCACCGCAAGAGATCAGGTAGAACGTGACCAACAGGTGTGAAAGGAGAAAGGAGAAAAGGAATTTGAAGATATCCATCGGATCCCAATCTCTGACATCTCTGACAACCTCCGCTGACTTCCCACCCCCACCTCAAGCTCAGGAGGTTGCCTCACAGGTGCACACGTTTTACTTTACACAAACACCCATGCCGCACCCCTACCACAAAACCAGAACGGCAGCAAAAACATTTGGAGGAAAAGGAACTCCTAACCGTGTCTTCCTGAACTGTGCCGTGTGCATACATAGGTGATGAATTTGAGTATATGTGATGGTATGTCATTTCAGTGCCTCTGACAAACAAGGTCTCGCTATTGGGTTGGAGGCCATTGCTATTAGGTTGGAGCCCATTGCTATTAGGTTGGAGGCCATCGCTACTAGGTTGGAGGCCATTGCTATTAGGTTGGAGGCCATTGCTACTAGGTTGGAGGCCATTGCTATTAGGTTTGAGGCCATTGCTACTGGCCATTGCTACTAGGTTGGAGGCCATTGCTATTGGGTTGGAGGCCATTGCTATTAGGTTTGAGGCCTTTGCTACTAGGTTGGAGGCCATTGCTATTAGGTTGGAGGACATTGCTATTAGGTTGGAGGCCATCGCTACTAGGTTGGAGGCCATCGCTATTAGGTTGGAGGCGAGGCCATCCCTACTGGGTTGGAGGCCATTGCTACTAGGTTGGAGGCCCTTGCTATTAGGTTGGAGGCCATCGTTATTAGGTTGGAGGCCATTGCTACTAGGTTGGAGGCCATTGCCATTAGGTTGGAGGCCATTGCTCTTAGGTTGGAGGCCATTGCTACTAG